AGAACTGTTATTGAAGATTTAATTTATATACACGTTTTGCTTTTTTAATTCGCTTTCGTTTGTCTCATTAGGTAGATGTAAAAAAATCCATATTTTCATCTTTGACTTTTAATGAAAATGACAGTACCACACTAGAAAGTGCAATGTGTATGCTGGTTCATAGAAACCATATATATATATATATATATATATATATATATATATATATATATATATATATATATATATATATATATATATATCCTACCTACCTCTGTTTATCAATATATATACCCTTGGGCAAATTAATTGAAACAACCGCATAAGTTTCCTTTCATTCAACACACGGTCAGTTTCAGACCCACTGGAATGACAGGGTGTAATCGATTTCTATTTTTCCTCAGATTAGGTCATTTGGAGTGTTGGGCAGTAATATTTTCGGGGTGTATCATGAAATCTGCTTGCCATTGAAAAATATTGCGTCATCCGTGATTGCAGCAGAATATTATCACACCCAGACACTATTGTCTCAACTATCGATTAGTTGTCATACTGCTATTGTCTGCGATGGACGTTACTCCAAGGAAGCGTATGAAAATGACTGCCCCGGAATCTCTCCTGATTTAAATCCAATCGATAATCTGTGATCAATCCGCGAGGAACGACTTCGTGGAATGGACTTACGAATTACTAACATGTGCACGGGGTCATAATTTATTAGTAAAATACGAAAAAATGTAAATAATAACGGAATTATTCGTTTTATTTCAATTAATTTACACAACGAATTTGTTTTGAGACTTCCACAGTTTATTGTTAGGCACTCGATTTAATAATCATCAATACAATTCTTTTCATGTTAAAGAAATGTTATTGAAGATTTAATTTATATACACGTTTTGCTTTTTAATTCACTTTCCTTTGTCTCATTACGTAGATGTAAAAAAAATCCATATTTTCATCCTTGACTTTTTAATGAAAATGACAGAAACACACTAGAGAGAAACCAAATATATATATATATATATATATATATATATATATAAATTACAAAAAATTATTCATGTAAAAAGTAAATTAGTAAAGTTAAGGATATAAAATTTTAAAGATACATTAACCCACTACTTACTCGACGAATGTTATGATCCTTGTTTTGTTTTTAGTTTGTTTTTTTTTAATTATAAATTGTGTTAGGTCTTAATAGATTCACAATAGTTTCCATGCCTGATGATGACCAGAGTACCCGTCGAAATTACTAGCATATTTAATGAAGATCTAATACAGTTTATAATTTTAAAAAAACAAGGATCATGACATTCATCGAGTGGTTAGTGAATTTTAATGAAAATGAATAACACCACACTAGAAAGTGCAATGTGTATGCTGGTTCACATATATATATATATATATATATATATATATATATATATATATATATTACAATAAAATTATTCATATAAAAAGTAAGTACTTTCGTCGGGTACTCCGGTCATCATCAGGCATGGAAACTATTTTGTTCGTGGGTAAAATTCAGATAGCATCGAGGCGAAAAAATATAATACGAATCGAAATATGTTTCTTTTTTTTTTTTAATGTGTTATTAATAACGGATACAAATACTAAAGAACTGATCCGATGTGCAAATTTTATTTTTTTCTTCTCGGATGCCACCTTTACTAATTTACATTTGTATGAATGATTCATTGTAATATATATATATATATATATATATATATATATATATATATATATATATATATAAAGTGGTCATTAAGTCAACACCCAAATGGCAACAATCCGTTTCATGCTATCGTCAGCTCATGGTCTGACGATTGCATTTAACATGTAACAGACTGTCGCCTCCGGCCGTTGACTAATGACCACTATATATATATATATATATATATATATATATATATATATTACAATGAATCATTCATATTAAAAGTAGATTAGTAAAGTTAATGATATAAAATGGCGAAATCGCTTCACTAACTAAATTTTAAAAATGCATTTACACACTAACCACTCGATGAATGTTATGATCCTTGTTTTTTCAAATTATAAACTGTAATGGGTCTTGATAGATTCGTAATAGTTTCCATGTCTGATGATGACCGGAGGGCACGTCGAAAGTACTTGAATATTTAAGAACGACCTAAAAAACAAGGATCATAACATTCATCGAATAATTAGTAGGTTACTACATCTTTAAAATTTAGTTATCGAAGTGGATTCACTATTTTATATCATTAACTTTACTAATTTACTTTTTGTATGAATGATTCACTGTAATATAAATTAAACAGCACCATATATTTGATATATATATATATATATATATATATATATATATATATATATATATATATATAGTTTCCCTTTAGGACTTGGGCGATTATCGTTTCTCCACAACCTTCTATTTTTTGTAACTCTTAGTAATTTTTTGCGGGCGATCATGGCTCTCTACATCTTCCTGTTTTTTGTAGATCTTAAAAGTCAAATTTGGTATCCTATGTATCCCAAGTATCCTTCCCGTCATGTGCTGTTTTTAATAATAAAAAAAAACTTTTATTCATATGGTTTAACAATTTGTCTACTATTCACTCTGTCCATTTAGGACTTAGGTATTTATCATTTCTCCGCAACCTCCTCCTCTTGTAACTCTTAGTAAGCTTCCTGGGCGATCATATATATATATATATATATATATATATATGTGTGTGTGTGTGTGTGTGTGTGTGTGTGTGTGTGTGTGTGTGTGTGTAAAGGAGATGTTATAGTTGTTGCAACGAGAGAAAAGTGTATATTTTAAAGAGAACAGAGAAGCCGAAGACGTTTTTTTTTTTTTTTTATGTAGATTTTTTAAATATATATTATATTTTATTTTCCATATTTTTGCTACACGTGTTTCCGGTTTCAATAGTTAAATATCGGGAAACATAAGGAAAATTAATTCCTTTTAATATATGGAAATAATTACTCTTTGCCTGATGAAGGTCGCAGAACCGGAAACACGTGTAGCAGAAATATGAAAAAAAAAAGAAAAGAAAAGTATAATAAATGTATAGTAAAATCCACATTATAACCAAAAACGTTTGCGGCTCCTCTCTTCTCTTTAATATCTATATATATCAGCTTTCCCTGACGATCCACGAAGCTGAAACCTTGGTAGGTTTGTCTGGCTCTCTAGGTTTAACTAGGTCTGCTCTACTTTTGTATTGAGCACTTTTTTAGTAAGTTGATTACTCGTATCGGGTTTTTTTTCCTTCGGGCTTTGGACCTGTATGCTGTACGATTATTTTCGACAGACGTTCCTATTCCTAGCTCTTTCTTTTTTTAAAACCTTTTTTCCCAGCATCCCTCATTCGTGCGCATGTGTAGTGGCATCAAAGTAAACAAATTTAGTCCGATGACCTCCTAAAGGACGAAACGCGTCACACGAAAACTTTTTCCCACTTTGTCATACATTTTCCCCCAATACATACATATATGTAAGCAAATGTAAAAGGATATAGATCCGACAGAATGAAGAAAAATTTGGAAAAAACAAACAAAAATCCTTAAATGCAATTATGTTGTTTAAAATGAATGAAATGTCGACGTCTGACGTTTCGGTTTAATAAACCTTCTTCAGGAAAATATTCATTAAAATACAATTCAGTTCAATTTGACAAAGACGATGGACATAAAAACAAGTCTTATCCAAAACAGATAACTGAAAATTTGGATAAGACTTGTTTTTATGTCCATCGTCTTTGTCAAATTGAACTGAATTGTATTTTAATGAATATTGTCCTGGAGAAGGTTTATGAGATGTTGTGAGTTTCCCGCGTGTCGGTGTATGAATCAAGACAAACACAGTCGTAGAGGAAAATACTGGTATATTCATAAAAGCAATTAACAATAGAGTGATTAGTAGAACGAAGGTTGGTTAGTACGAAACAATATCCAAAGTCTATAGTCCAACGGTATGTACCGGGTAAGCTTATCTGGACTGCTAACACTGACTCTCTCTCTCTGACGCTCTGTCACTCTCTCTCCAGAGCTGACTTATATAAGAGGGACCAGTCCATTACTAGTTAGAAGGTGGGTGCGCCCCAACAGTTTATTAAACCGAAACGTCAGACGTCGACATTTCATTCATTTTAAACAACATAATTGCATTTAAGGATTTTTGTTTGTTTTTTCCAAATTTTTCTTCACATACATATATATATATATATATATATATATATATATATATATATATATATATATATATATAAAAAACAGTGGTTGATACAAACAGTATCAGAAATTTCTATGTTTCAAACCTGAAACTAAAATTGTAAATTTAATCAGAAAAATTATACTTAGAATCCAGAGTTTCGTTCCATGGTCAAGCGATGCTAGCAATAACTTTCTAAGAAATGTACTTAATTTATAAGCGCAGACAATCCAAACATGGAAACATATACAGATGGATCCAAAGTTGGAGATAAAGTTGCATGTGCTGCAGTGCACAACAAAGATAAACTATTAAAAAGACTCCTTGATAAAGCATCAATCTACAGTGCTGAAGCATCAGCCATTGAATATAACTGAAAACAGTGAAGAAAAGAAACACATCATCTTTACAGATAAGAATTCAGTACTAACTGCATTGAAAAATAGAAAAACAGACAATCCTTTAACAACTAAAATCCTAAACAAGATCGATGTAATTACTAAAAATAAATAGTCTTCTGCTTGGTACCCAGTCATATTGGTATAAATAGGGAATCACAGAGCTGATCAGGCAGCAAATCAAGCACTAGAAATGGAACCCTCAAAAGATAAAATTCCCTTCACAGACCTAATTGCAACAATTAACAAACATCAAATGAACAAATGGCAAGAATCTTACACCAATAGATATCAGATTGTGAGGAATTTCCTGCTTAATCTATGAGTCAAAGAATTATTTCAGTCGCTTGTGTAGGGAGGGAGTGACCTTCGACGATACGGGACCTTGTGTTAGTGAATTTGTTGGAATTTTGATGCGGACCAAAACTGGGGGATCACTCACCTTTTCCCTGCTTTATAATTTTTTTCCAGTAGATGAAATATCTTCAAAATTGGTATTAAATTGTGCCACCAATACACCAATAACAAAATTACATGCAATAAAGGAACAAATTGGAGAAATAAATGACTTCAGTGAAATGACTAGAAAAGAACAAGTAACATTATCAAGACTCCGTATGGGCCACTCGAGCCTCAGCCATTCTTACCTCCTTAAGAAGGAGACAGCTCCAATTTGTATACCATGCCAGGAGGCTTATACAATAGGTCACATTTTGACAAATTGTTTAGACTTGAAGCAAACACGCCAAAAGTACTACAAAGAAACAAACCTGAAAGAAATATTCCTCCAAGTAAAACCTTCAAAAATACTTGAATATATAAGAGAAACTGGTCTCTATAACAAAATCTAGAAGAGATTGGGATAAACACAAATATATCAAGATATATACCTCCATGAAACTGCTTACTTCAAGATGCCTACTCAAACAAAGAAACACATTTAACTTAAGATTCTTTAAAGTCACTCAAACCCATTTTCGGCATAAAGTGACCACTAAGGTTGAGATGCCGTTAAACAAAACAATCAATCGATATTGATTTGATCATTAGCAAATCAAGAAACCGAAGGTTTTCCGAGACGAGTGTAGTTACTGATAGATAGATAGATAGATAGATAGATAGATAGATAGATAGATATTAGGTTGGTGCAAAAATAATGACGTAATAATGTCGTTTTTTGACGTATTTTTCACGTCAAAAACGACATTATTACGTCATTATTTTTGCACCAACCTAATAGATAGATGTGAGGTTTTAATATTTTTACACCTTTATAATTAGATATTACACCTTCCTGATATTTGTCATGTCACACTCTAATGGTCTCAGATTTCTCCGCTCCCCCGACTAACCCTCATCTGACTCATGGCAAAATAGTTAATAATAATGTTAATAATAATTAAAGACGTTCGTGAATAAAAGAGAAAGGCTCAGTTTACCATTCCACCTCGCGGGAAACTAGTTCCAAACGACAAAAGACGTTCTTCGATACCTCCATTTTATCCCTTGCGCCGCTAATGCAACTCGCGGCTCTCTGCCCTTTCCTCTCCTTTTCTATTTTCGCAATTTACCACTTTTGACCCACCACCCCCACCCCGGACCCCGTTTTTCCTTTCTTTTCTTTTACAAACCCCGCCCCGCCGCCGCCGCCACCAAAGCCCCGAACCACGGTCTCCCTGCAACTCGTTACCTGTCTCTGTTTGTTAGTCTCCGCTTTTCGAGATTTCACTGTCAATTCATCTTCTTTATATGCAAATCCGATAAGGCGGAGGAAAATAAAGATGGAGAGCGGGTGGCACGGAGATGATGCGGGGTTCGATTCGCCATGTGAAAGCCATCTTGTTAACCTTCAGGTCAGGGAATTTCTGGCCCAACAATCTTGAGCTCTATTCCATCGATTTGTTTATTTATTTCCCACCCCCAATTTTTTTTTTTTTTTTTCATCTCGCATTTCGTTCTTTGTTGCTATTTGCTTGCTTCAGTAAATTTTCCTTCCTTTTTTTTTTTTTAATCTTCCTTCATTAATTTCATTTTTACACTGATTTTTTTTTTCTTTTTATCGTTTTTTTTTTTTTTTTCATTCAATTTTTTCCTCCTTTTCGTTCATTCTGTTGAGTTTTTTTTATTTTATTTTCAGTCTTTCCCACCTCACTTTATTTTTCATTACTTCTTTTACTCTTTGTTGCTTTTGGCGTTACTGGTTTATTTTTTCTTCATTTTCTTGTCTTTGTTTTTTTTTATATCATCTTTGCTTAAATTTTATTCCTACATTAATTTCTTATTTTATACTTCTTCCCAATTTTTCTTTTCTTTTGCATTCTTTCTTCCTTTCTTTTTCGTTCTCTCCTCGCTTTCTTTTTTTTTTACATTCATTTAATTATTCACTTTATTCTTTGTCACGCTTTTCTTTCCTATTTTCTTCATTTTTCTTTTTTTTACATTCTTTTAGTCTTTCTTTTCGTTCCCCGCGTAATTTTTTTTTATTCGAGTCACTTCATTCTTTTATGTTGTCTTGATTTCTTTTTTTAAAGCTGATATATTTAATCAACTACTTTTTTTCTTTTCAAAATAGCATCATTTCTCATACGTATCAATGTATCTATCAATCTATCTCTTGGGAAGCTTGACGTGGTTAGAAAGCTTGTCTTGCTAGATCAATTACGACTCAGTAGCGAGTTCGATTCTCGCTGGGTGTCCCAAACTTTCGGCCGTGTGCCACATCTAAGCTGTGATTAGACAACTCTTTTTCTCTCTCGCTCTCTTTTATATAAAATTATTAATTAATTAATTATTTATTTATTTATTTATTTATTCATTTATTTATTTATTTATATATATATTTATATATATATATATATATATATATATATATATATATATATATATATATATAAGCAATTTTTTTTAGATATAGTAAAAAAAAAAAAAAGTTTCAAATTTTATGACAGTTAAAAATAGAACATTGATTCATATCATGACTTAGGTGTTTTAAATCTTTATAAATATTTCAATAGTTAAGAAAAATTTTTTTTAGATATAAGTAAAAAAAAAAAAAAAAATTTTTTTTTTAAATATTTATGACAGTTAGTTTTATAGTTATATAATATATATATATATATATGATATATATATATATATATATAAAAGATAACGATCACAAACAATATTTGGAGGAAAATGTATGACAAAATAAGAAAATGTTTCGTGTGACGCACCCAAATTTGTTGCATGCGCACGAATGAGGATGCTGGGAATTTTTAAATAATTTTTTTTTTTATAATCTAGGCGATATCATTTGGTTAAATGAAATTGGCTAGATTATATATTGCCGCCAACGTGAGAACGAAACGCGTCACACGAAAAACTTTTCCCACTTTGTCATACATTTTCCAATACATACATATATATATATATATATATATATATATATATATATATATATATATATAGTAAGAAATTCTATGTTTCAAACCTGAAACTAAAATTGTAAATTTAATCAGAAAATTAAATTTAGAATCCAGAGTTTCGTTCCATGCTCAAGCGATGCTAGCAAAAACTTTCTAAGAAATGTACTTAATTTATAAGCGCAGACAATCTAAATAATTTTCAGTTGTTAGGTTAAGAAAAATTCAATCTATTTTGATTACGGGTGGTTGGTTTTAATATCCCTAAACAACTTATGTATCAAATATAAGTTACATAAGGTTAATTTTGTTATTGAAGTCAGAATGCAGACGTTTGTAACACTTTGCCATACATACATACATACATACAAGATGGTTGTTTCAACAAAACGAACATGGCCCTCGCTGGCTTTTTAACATAATTGGTTATTGTGCCCTGAGAAATAAAACTAGTAAGTTCCATGCTTTCGACACGGTCGTATCGTTTCTTTGTGTTCTTCATCAGGGTTTAGGGTCCTTCTACGCCTTCAGGTGTCTTGTGATGCCAGATCGACTTTTGCAGACCTTTTCCGTACTCTTCGCATGTCAGATGATTGCTGTCAAGGAACGTCTCGTAGCATGGCTACGTCGATGACTCTCTCGGCAGGATGACAGTCTCGGCTTCACTATCAGGCAAACAGTGGCATACATACATTCATACACAGAAACATGTTAGCAATAGCTCGCAGTCGTTTGGAGGATAAATCGGCATAAATTTGAAATTCAGAGATAACGTCCCTTGAGGAATAAAAAAAGTCATATGATGAGAAAGAACAAAGTTCTGGGGACAACGTGAATGATTTCTTTGAAAATCCCCTTCCAGGATTACTGTATTCGACAGCCACCTGAAGAAATAGAATATTTACATCTTAATATGCAGGGTAAAGCAGGTCACAAAATACACCCTTGTGCAAACTAATTGAAAAAGCAGTTCCTTTCTTTCATCATACGGTCAGTTTAGACCCACTGGAGTGACAAAATCGACACCATTTTGTGTTCGGTATTATTAATATAATGATGAAATTGAAAAACAATCCGTGATTTAATTTTCATTTCTTTCATCATTAGTTGTCCCACGGCCATTGTTTAGACCCACTGAAAACTGTAACGCTGCACAAACACACTGGGTGTAATCGATTTCTCCTGATTTTTCCTCGAGATTTGTGAACAATTTGCAAAAGACGACTTAGTGGAATGGTATAACACAGTGGGTCCCGAAAACGTGTTAACGGAATTATTCTTTTTGAATTAAACAACTGTAAAATAAATTACCATCCGAATATAATTAAAGCCAGACATGGTTATTTACGCCGTACATGAACATTTGTTTATTGCGATGAGGAGCTAGATGTCAACAACTTAACGGAATAAATTAAACACCTATATAATGTTGTATTTTACCCCACTAGTGAGGCATAAAGTAACAGATAGTGGGGCACAATGTAACATAGTGTTTAATAACAAAAAATTAGAACAATGAAACCACTCTGAAACCTGATTTACGCTTCAAATGCAATTTAACAAACATAAAATAATACTTTGTAAACAGTCTAAAAAATGATAATATAACTGTCTAAGTATAATACACAATGCACAAAATAAATGAAATAAACTGACATGTGTCGATTTTCGATATTCTGATCTTTTCCTTTGTTTTCGATGATAACCAAGCGATGAGGCGACAAAAGGACAGCAACATTGAATAGAAAATAACACAAGTGCTCATTACGGTGTGAAATAATAATTTCACCCCTAAATCTGAGTGTTACTTTTCACTACGTGTTACTTTTTTACCACGTGTTACATTTCAATCCCTGTCACGTTTTACCCCATGTTCCACTTTTCACTGTTACCTTTCTAATATGTCAAATTTAAGCGTTATCATTTATTTTAGAAAAACAGAAATCTTTGACGAAATATAAAATCCTTAGAGAAAGGAATAATACTGAAATTGCCTAATTTGTTTGTGTAGAATACGCCTTGAGCAATATATATATAATAAGCCCCAATGTTTTTGAACATAAAGTGAGTGAATAAATTACACCCTTGAGTATAATACGCCCACGTGTTGCTGAAGCTAAAGACTGGGAATAAATTACATCCTTGAGTATAATACGCCCCGTGTTTCTGAAGATAACAACAGGGAATAAATTAAACACCTGAGTATAATACTCCTGAGTGTTTCTGAAGCTGAGAGCAGGGAATAAGTTGCATCCTTGAGTATAATACGCCCACGTGACCCTAGAGCTAAAACCATGGAATAAATTGTTTGCCCACGTGAAGCTAAAAACAGAATAAATTAACTTTTAAATAAAAACAGGGAATTGATCCTTGAGTATAATACGCCCACGTGTTTCCAAGGTTAAAAACAAGGAATAGAAGTATAAAGAAGCTAAAAGGAAAATAATTTAATACTTGAGTATAATACGCCCACGTGTTTCTGAAGCAAAAGACAAGGAATAAATTACATACTTGACTATAATAACCCTCCGTGTTTCAGAATCGAAAACAGGGAATAAATTACACCCTTGAGTATAATACGCATACGTGTTGCTGACACTAAAAATAGGGAATAATTACATCCTTGTGTATAATACGCCCAGTGCATCTGAAGATAAAACAGGAAATCAATTACATCCTTGAGTATAATACGCACACGTGCTTCTGAAGCTAAAAACAGGGAATACATTACACACTTGAGTATAATACGCCCACGTGTTTCTGAAGCCAGAAACATGGAGTAAATTAAATCCTTCTCTATAATACGCTCACGTGTTTCTGAAGATAAAACGGGGAATAAATAACATCTCTGTGTATAATACGCCCACGTCTTTCGGAAGCTAAACACAGGGAATACATTACATACTTGACTATAATCCTCCCCCGTTTTTATGATGTCAAGAACAGGGGAATAATTACATCCTTGACTATCAGACGCCCACGTCTCTCTGAAGCTAAAAACATGGAATAATTTACATCCTTGAGTATAATACGCCCACGTGTTTCTGAAGCTAAAACAGGGAGTAAATTACATCCTTGTGCTTAATACACCTCGTGTTTCTAAAGCTAAAAAGAGGGGAATAAATTACATCTTGGAGTATAATAACCCCACGTGTTTCTTAATAAATTACATCCGTGAGTATAATACTACCCTTGTTTCTAAAGCTAAAAAGAGGAGAAAAATTACATCCTTGAGTAAAATACACCCACGTTTTTCTGAAGCTAAAAACAGGGAATAAATTATATCCTTTAGTATAATATGTCGCAATTTTCTGAAACTAAAAACCGGGAATAAATTACATCATTGAGTATAATCCTGCACCGTGTTTCTGAAGCTAAAAACAGGAAATAAATTACATACTTGTGCATAATACGCCTCCATGTTTCTAAACCTAAAAACAGGGAATAAATTACATTCTTGGGTATAATACGCCTACGTGTTTCTGATGCTAAAAACAGGGAATAAATTACATCCTTGAGTATAATACGCCCACGGGATTCTAAAGCTAAAAACAGGGAATAAATTACATCCTTGAGTATAATACGCCCACGGGATTCTGAAGGTAAAAACAGGGAGTAAATTACATCCTTGTGATTAATACGACCCGTGGTTCTGGCGCTAAAAACAGGGGAAAATTACATACTTGAGTGGAATACGGCCACATGTTTCTGAAGCTAAAAACTGGGAATAATTTACATCCGTGAGTATAATACGCCTGCATTTTTTTAAGGGAATTCCATACTTGTGCATAATACGCCCCAGTGTTTCAGGCGCTAAAAACAGGGAAAAAATAACATTCTTGAGTATAATACGCTCACGTATTTCTGTAGCTAAAAACAGGGAGTAATTACATCCTTGTGATTACTACGACCGGTGTTTCTGGCGCTAAAAAAGGGGGAAAATATATACTAGAGTAGAATACGGCCACGTTTTTCTGAAGCTAAAAACAGGGAATAAATTATATACTTGAGCATAATATGCCCCCATGTCTCTGAAGCTAAAAGCCGGGAAGAAATTACATACTAGCGTATAATACGCCGACGTGTTTTTGAAGCTAAAAACCGGGAATAAA